TAAAAATAATTTTCATACAACTAATTATATATTATACAAATTATCTACAATTTTCGCACATTATTCCTACTAAGTTATATAACTACAATATAATACCACTTAAATATAATTTTTATACAATGTTGTTTAATTTTCATACAATAAGTAAATGAATAAAAGAAAAATAAATAAACAACAGTCTACAATTTTTCTATAATTTCTGCAATATAATGTATGTCATGTCTTCTTCTTCTTCTTCTTCTTCTTCTTCGAGTTTCAATCTGAAATTAAGCCAAAATCAAGTCTAATCTTCACCAAAACCCCTCAAAATTGAGATATAAACTCCAAACCATATTCCCAATTATTTTCAACACCACCCAATCTAAACAATTAATGATTTTTGAAAATCCAAATTTGAATTCAAAGCTTCAAAGCTTTTTAATGGCTGTCAATGATGGAATTATTGCTCTCTTTTCCTATGCTTTGTATTACTGAAATTTGGGATTGAGAAATAGAGAGAGACGTAGAGAAAATTCTCAATTCTTTGGAACAACATCCAATCCAAACAAACAAATGTCTTTTGAAAACCCAAATTTGAATTCAAAGTTTTTTAATGGTTGTCAATGGTGGAGGGGTTATAGATTTTCGCTGGTTTTAGAAGAGAAAATCGTGAGTGATTGAAGAGGAAATCGTGGGATGTGGTTTGATACGTGCGTGAGGTGGTTGTAAAATATCTGGAAGAATATTTAATTCCCCAATATTAGCGCCCCTAAATAAGGAAGCCTACAACTACAATGATTCCTTATTTAATGAATTGTCTATATTTTGTAGAAATACTATTAGCATGGCGGGTAATATGCAAACTATGAACATATTTGGTAATATAGTTTCATATATGGTATAGGAACGAAAATCTCTCATATGAGTAAACCCATATTATCCATGACTTCTTGCATATGAGCACTTTTGGGAGAATTCTTAGTCTCCCTAACTTGAGGAACCCTCAATTTGAGGCTTTACAAATGTAAAAGATAGACTCATTGATTATCCATTGCTTACCCATTTTCTAAATGGATAATATGGTTTTTATCCATATTTGACCCGTTTTTAAAAAGTTCATTATCCAACCCATTTTCTAGTGGATAATATGGATGGTTAACTATTTTCTTTTAACTATTTTGCCATCCTTAAATGTATCTTAGCCGGTTATAGCAAGTTAGTAACAGTCTTTATTAAGTAATCAATTCATGTCATGAGATTTAGTTGTAATTACACTATATTTTTTACTGCATGTGCATATAAATTAAAGTCCTCTAATATTACAAGAGGGATCCACTTATATTCAAGACTAGTAAACTTGTTCGCGCTTCGCGCGATTATTAAAACTTTGTTTAAGTACGCTATATATAAAAAAAAGAGTAAAAATGACAAATATATAAAATAAGATATACATATTTTTTTTAAATATATAAGAGAAAGATTGAAGTGATATTGTCCGTTCTGGGCCTAATAAGATAAGATAAGATAAAATATACGTATGATTTATTTTAAAAGCGAATATACAAGGAAAAAATACATATGAAAAATAAATTGAAATTGAATCATCCCATACTTTTTTTTACTCCATAGTGATATGTTCTCTCGTGTTCTCAATTGGAAAAGAGAAATGGTGGTTTATAGTTTTTGACATTTTTAGAGTCTATCTCAAGTTTACGATTTTCCTTTAATTCCTGTTTTTAATATTTTAGTGAAAATATGTATAAGATTTAGGTTATATTTATTGCACGAAATAACAAAAAGAACGTTAAAAGCATTTAAAAATCGTCTATAACTCATCTTTGAAAACTTAGTTACAAATTTAAATGATTAATAAAAGTGAAATATATTAGAGGATAAAGGGCTCCCGGTTGACTATATTAAGGTGATTAAAGACATGTATGATGGAGCTAAGACTCGGGTTAGGACAGTAGGAGACGACTCTGAACACTTTCCAGTTATTACGGGATTGCACCAAGGGTCTGCGCTCAGCCCATTCCTATTTGCCCTGGTGATGGATGCACTGACTCATCATATTCAAGGGGAGGTGCCATGGTGCATGCTATTTGCTGATGACATTATTCTAATTGACGAGACACGAGGCAGCGTCAACGAGAGGCTAGAGATTTGGAGACATGCTCTTGAGTCTAAAGGTTTCAAGTTGAGCAGGACGAAGACGGAATACCTCGAGTGCAAATTTGGAGTTGAGCCGACGGAAGCGGGAGTTGAAGTGAGGCTTGACTCTCAAGTCATTCCCAAGAGGGGTAGTTTCAAGTACCTTGGATCGGTTATTCAGGGGATCGGGGAGATTGACGAGGATGTCACACACCGTATAGGGGTGGGGTGGATGAAGTGGAGGTTAGCGTCGGGAGTCTTGTGTGACAAGAAAGTGCCACCGTTACTAAAAGGTAAGTTTTATAGAGCAGTGGTTAGGCCTGCCATGTTATATGGAACTGAATGTTGGCCGGTAAAGAACTCACACATCCAGAAGATGAAAGTAGCAGAGATGAGGATGTTGAGGTGGATGTGCGGGCATACAAGGATGGATAAGATTAGGAATGAAGATATTCGAGAGAAGGTGGGCGTGGCCCCCATGGAGGACAAGATGCGGGAAGTAAGACTCAGATGGTTCGGGCACATTCAGAGGAGGAGCACTGATGCACCGGTGAGGAGGTGTGAGCGACTGGCTGTAGTGGGCACGCGAAGAGGTAGAGGGCGACCTAAGAAGTATTGGGGAGAGGTGATCAGACAGGACATGGCGCGACTTAGGATTACTGAGGACATGGCCCTTGACAGGGAATTATGGAGGTCGAGCATTAAGGTTGTAGGTTAGGGGAAAATTGTGAATATTTCTACAGCACAATAAAGTGAGACTAGCCAGTTAGGAGTTAGACTAAGAATGTCATTGGTCGTCTATTGATGCAGGGCTTTACCTGCTAGTTTTACTATACCAACCATCTATTTTGTATTTCGTATTCTGTATTTCATATCTCTTATATTGTTGTTATTGTATATGCATTTTTATGGTACTAATATATCGGCTCATGTTGCTTTTTTGAGCTGAGGGTCTCCTGAAAACAGCGTCTCTACCCTTCGGGGTAGGGGTAAGGTCTGCGTACATATTACCCTCCTCAGACCCCACTTGTGGAATTATACTGGGTCGTCGTTGTTGTTGTTGAAATATATTGGCTTTCATTGAACTCAAATTGTGTTTATGTGCATACACATATATATAGGGGAAATCTCTCATCAGTTCACCTAGCATTACCTGCATGTAGTGTACACGCCAAGCACTACCAAAAGAAAATGTTGTTTCTTCCTCTTTTGAAAATATTTTTAAACTGTTTTTGCTCGAGGAATTCTTTAATCAACTCAAGCACTCTCCACAACTTTGCCAAGTAGTTTACAACTGGATAATCCGAAAGTACAAATTTCTTTTCTTTTGACATTTTCCATTTCATTTAGAAAAATTATGTCTTACGTGTCCAATGGTTTAATAAATAGGCTCGGTTATCCAATATAGGGAGAAAGTGATAAACGATAAAGACACTACAAGATAGCTGTTAAAGAGGGAATCGTTGATGACTTGGGGAAAGAGTAGCAGACCTGTAAACTCAGAGACAATTATGAAACAAAAACACATTAGAGAATACAAATTGCTAATTTGACATTAAACATAGATTCGACTTTGCCGAAAGATCAATGACAACCATTAGAATATGACCTTTATGTGGATGATTCAAAAGCCAGGATGTAGGAGCAGAAACTGCAATATCACCCACTTTAGATAATAGTAGGGTAAAATACCACCAAATTAATTTAGCCGACCAAAGAAGAGGGATACGGACAGAAAACTTACCTGAGAATTCATCCAAAACAAAAATGGCCCAAAGCATCTCAAAGGAAAAAAAGAAAATAATCCTCTTGGTGAGCCCATCACAGCTTTTAATCATGCAATTGATAGTAAATAAGCACGATTGGTAGAAGAGAAAGAGTACATTCTAATACTTCTAAAAACAACACCAATAATGATAATAACCACATATATAAAGTCGTCGTCATAATTTATAGATACCTTAGTTGCCGAGTATGACGTTATTGAGCTTGGAAACTTAAAAAATATATTTAAGAAAGTAATTCATCTGGTATTTTTAATTACCTTCATTGCATCTCAACATCTCCAAAAGCCGGGCAGGTTTTTCGGCAGCCTCTTTTAGAACGCACATCCCATCATGCTGCTGTTTTCTATTAAATTTGCTCTTGGCTATAGAAAACGTCCAAGGGAATTAATGCATGGAATTTGAAAGGTTCGTAACTGAAGGAGTAAAGTAGTATTACAAATTAAAACATTCCATTTACTTAGCTTAGAATACAAAAGGTTGCCAGAACTGTTAACTAATGATAGCTAGACTTCTTAAAAGAATAACGTAAATGTAGGAAAAAATGAGAGTAAAATGCCAAAAAAAGGAGATAAAAGAAAAATACATTTGCACATCATCTATCCTAATCCCAACTTTATATATATATATATATATATATATAGATTAGCGCACTCCTTTCTCTTATCCTTCCCATTTGTACCTTTCTGCAATTTCTTTCTTAAGCTTTCGAACTCCATTTCAAACTTCTTTTCTTTTTTCATTTTGTTTGCTCAGACTCCATCGACGAAGAACTGGATTATAAATAGTTTGCGCCTCTTCTGTTTGCGGTCCAGTTCAAGCCCAGATACCAACAATATTCATTATAAGAGTTGTAATCATAAGCCAGCTGAAAAAGTTTATTGTATTGTAGACTTATTTGAATGTTGCATTAAAAATTTATGGTTCTGGGCTTGTTTGACAAATAATATGACGAGTCTCTCTCTGAAATATAATTTTAATGAACTATAACACATGCTCCTTTGTGACCATATAAAAAAGAACAAATTTCATATCAATGGTATATATTACCTTATTTAAAAGTTCAAAATGCTTCACCCACCTCATCAAGCAAGTCTATTTGTATTTGAATTAACTATTACAAGATTATATTAAGGATAAACCTCAATAACAGACCTTAATCCCAGTATAGGATTAATCTTGTAGTCACTAAAACCAGCATCACAAAAGAGTTTTGCCCATTCTTCTCGATTCCTTTCTTTCCCAGAAACATGAACCATCATAAGAATATCTGAGAAAAGTTGAGTTTCAAATGATTTGTTATCTCCTTTTTGGCTATCAACCACAATGTCAATGATGATCACCTTTCCTCGATTCTCCTTACTTGGAATTGCTTCTTTACATTTCTTCAATATTTTAACGCAGTCTTCGTCGCTCCAATCATGTAATATCCACTACTTATCATTCACCAAACATAAATCAATGTTAGTACATGTACATTTATGGTTATAGTTACAAAAGTTTAGTGACTATACATGAAATTAATCCCTAAATAAAATAAAAGAAAGAGTGTATGTATTACAATTACTATTTTGAATAAGTAGAATAAAAGAAAAGAAAAGTATGTCATGACTCATGTTAGGTAGGTTGAATCATGACTCGTTATTTGACTTGTTCTGACCCAACTCATTTTAACTCAAATAAATTCTAATTTGATTAAATCATTAATAATTTATTGATTTGACATATTTTGACTCAACCCGTCTACGACTCTAGAAAAAAAGTATGTTGAGAGTAGTAATTTACCTTCAATAAAATTGCATCTGCAGAAGGAACGGATTTAAACATGTCTCCTCCCACATAACTCAAGTTCTTGCTCCCTTCCAAGCCTTCAACAACATGTGGCAAATCAAAAACAGTGCATTTCACCTCAGGAAATGCATTAGAAATTGCTTTAGCCACAGTACCAATGCCACCTCCAACATCTACCAATGATTTCAACCCATCAAAAATTCCACTACCAGTTTTAATCACCACACTTATCATCAATCGGGCATCACTAGCCATAGCTTCATTAAATAAATAATTAAGCCTAGGTTCTTCCCCTGCATATTCAAACAATGGTTTCCCATGAGCAGTTGCAAATGGAGTAGAGTCATCATTTTGTAACCATTTGCTTAGACTCTGAAATGGATCCATTAAAATTGGATCTAATTGTGCTAACACAAATGGGACTAAACTCAAAGGCTCATTTTTAAGGAGAAGACGTGAATTTGGAGTAAGTAAATAACCCTCTTCTTCTTCAGTTTCATTAATTTTGGTTTGGATAAAGAAACCTGAATGGATTAGAATACGCATGAGACGGTAAATACAATCCTGACCTTTGGCTTTGTTAATTGGGAGGGCATTCACTAAATTGGAAAGGGTCATTGGTTTGCCATGGTTGTGAATAATATCTGGAATTTCAAGCTGAATTGCACATTTGAGTGACATGGAATTTAGGTAATTGAATACATGGTTTGCTATGTGTGCCTGAGCAGCAAGGATTTCTCTAGTTTCATCTCCAATATTATTAGACAATGCCATGTTTGTTTTTGAGATGTGTAGTATTGTGTTTATGAAATCTATATTTATAACAAAAATTAGAGGACCTGTTATAAATGAAATACCATATTTTAGAAAAATGAGGAGATTCACTACAAACTTTGACTTATTTAGATATGGTAAATATTGTGATATATCAATGTCTTTGAATTCATCTATTGGAGAGTCATTTATATCTAATGATTTTTCTTCCAAATATGTAATAGATTTGACATTAGTTGTCTTGGTTCCATTCACATTTACCAAAAAATTTCAGTCAGAAAATTGAAAGACATTTATTATTAAATCTAATCTTCCTAATTTTAAATGAATAAGTTAAGAAGATTAATAAACAATATATTAAATTTGTATATGCCACATCCAGATAATCAATAAAACAAAATCCCACCTTTATTATATGCTCTTTTCCCCTGTCATTTCGTCACGACCCAATTTCTCCTATAGGCTGCGATGGCACCCAACGTTGTCGCTAGGAGCCAACGGTAAACTAGTCATGTACTTGTTCTTTTTAATAATTTAAAAATAATTGATTTTTATTTAATAAGTAAATAAATAGTGAGAAATTATAGTAAGGTAAAGCATAAACTAAGGAGAGAGTAAATATAGTGAAATAAATACTCAAAATCATAAAGTGTTTACTAGCATGTTCCCAAAACCCAGTGTCACAACTGTATGAGCAACTAGTAGAATATACAAAACACCTATACTATTGTCTGAAATAAGATAGACATAAATGTAAATACAAAAGAGATATTGCGGGTGCTAAAGAACGGACTCGGAGACCAACTCACCACTATGCCTCAGGGTTACAGGGGTGCGCGCCTGAATGACTGCCAGATGCACCTGCCTCAAATCCTGCACAATTAGTGTAGAAGTGTAGCGTGAGTACATAAACAACATGTACCCAGTAAGTATACAGTCTAACCTCGAAGAAGTAGTGACGAGCGGTCGACATCGACACTTACTATGGGCCAATAAGTAAACTACGGAAATTCTAAATAGGCATGAAATAACAAACAGTAAATAAGTGATCCTTTAACTAACAGTCAATTTAAAATCTCCACTGACACATACTAACTTCAACAATTACGGGCCATCAAGTAAATAATAATTTCTCAAGTCATCTACATAATATCAAGCGTAATCGTACTCCGAGCATTACCACGCACTATTTATGCTTGAGGTCGTACGAACCGATCCAGAATAATGTGTACACTGCCGAGGGTCGACCGGCACGAACCATAAATGCATCTATTATATTGGCGAGGCGTTTGGCCCGCTCCACAAGAAGAGAATACTCTACGAATATTCGATTTAACGGTTATCACAAGACTAATATATACAATAGACCAATTTCGATCAACGATCAAGAAACTCACCAAAACTTAAAGTAAATGAAGTTCGGTCTTTACAAATCCTTTATCAAGTCTCAATATAATTTAAGCACTTAAATTAATAAGTAGGGTACAAACAATTTTCATGATAGAGTCCTAAAACTACCCAGACATAAGCATGATTTGTATCTACGCATGAACTCTCGTCACCTCGTGCGTACGTAGCACCCACAATTAGAAGCAAATAGTAATTTAAAACTCCTATGTGGTGAATTCCCTCTTACAAGGTTAGGCAAGAGACTTACTTCGTCCCAAAGCTCACTTTCTGGCCCGCAATTTTACTCTAAAGCCTCAACTTTGTGCCGAACAATCTGAAGCTAGCCAAATATTAAATAAATTAATCAATATACACGCACAAGTTCATAATTTAGCTATTAGAGTAATTACCCAACCCAAATTGGAAGATTCCTAAAATTTACCCCCTGTCCCACATGCCCGGATTCCGAAAACTTTCGAAGATAAATGTTATCCATAACCTCACGAACTCAAATATATAATTTCTACCCAATTCCATAATCATCTTCGTGGTTTAATCCCATTATTATCAAAATCTAGGTTTTCAACTAAGCCCATAATTTCTACAATTTATATGTTAAGAATATACCAAAATACATGTATTAAACTCATATTGTGTAGATTACTTACCTCAAAGTGCTAGGTGAACCAAAAAGCCTATGTCTCATCATTTTAAAAGACACTGCCCAGGCGTCCCTTCTTCGCGATCGCGGAAGAGGCCTCGCTCGAAGGCAAACAGGCCAGGCCCCAGAAAAATTGACTATTGCGAGTGCAACCCGAGCTTCGCGAATGTGGAGGCTTTCCTGGCTTGCTCTATACGAACGCAAGGGCTTCTTCGCGAATGCGAAGACCAACATCGGCCACCTAGCTCCAGCCACCTCTACGAGAACGCGGGCCCACTCACACAAAGGCCACAGGTCCCAGACCTTCACGAGCACGGACTGGTCGTCGCGAACTCGTAGCACAGATTCCCAGTCCCCATTTTCCTCCTCCGTGGAGGCAGTCCCACCCACGCGATCGCGAAGAAGGAAATCAGAACTAGCAATGACAGAATTTTTGACTTAGCTCCGGGCGGTCCGAAACTCACCTGAGCCACCCGGGCCCCCGTCTAGATGCACCAACAAGTCCATAATCATAATACGGACCTACTCAAACTCTCGAAACACGTAAAACAACATCAAAACTAAGAATCGCACCCAAAACCAAATTGAATCCAATTATGAACTTCAAGTTTTCAACTTGCTCCGAACGCGCTGAATCATGCTTAAACTACTCAGAATGACATCAAATTTTGTGTGCAAGTCTTAAATTACCATACAGAACTATTCTCAGGCTCGGAATCCCGAACGAGCATCGATAACACCAAAACCTACTCTAAACCAAACTTAAAGAACTTAAGAACCTGCAATGCGCCAATTTCAACATTAAGCTAATGCTCCCGATTTATCCGAAATCCGATCCGAATACACGCCCAAGTCTAAAATTATCATACGAACTTATTGGACCGTCAAATCTCGATTCCGAAGTCGTTTACTCAAAACATTGACTCAAGTCAAACTAACAATATTGAAAAATAATCGTTGCGTCTTTTACTTGAGATTCTAAACGTTGCTTCATAGCCCAGGAGTGAAGGGGCATTCCTTCCTCAATAACTCTCTTTTGTTTGCCCTGTGAGATATAACTCAACTCTTCCCCAACTAGAAGGCGAATTTCACGGGTTACCGCTGGCAATCCCCTGTCATCTCAGTCACCAAGCCAAGGACAATAGGATGTCTAGTCCCGAGAAAATCAGCGGAAAGATCATGACTTTACATGTCCCTTTCTTCCTAATTTTTTAACTTTTCGCCATAAATTTTCAAATTTTTTTTGAAAATTTTGATTTGGGTGAAATTTGGTTTGAATATGAAAATGTATTTGGACATACATTTTCAAAACATATGTCCCAAATTTATTTTGGAAAAACATGTGTATTATTAGGGATTTGGCCCAAAACCAGCTATTAAGCTGATTTTGGAATTTGAGATCTAGAATTTGAGATTTTACCAAAATATAGGCAAATTTTATGGCCAAATATGTATTTGCCAAATAAAATCCAAGTTTATTATGGCAAAATTTACGGCCAAACGGGTCATTAGTCGGAAATTCAGTCATCGAGGTCTTTTTTTGGTAGAATGATTTGCCGTTATTATTGGATTTCTTATAGTTGAGTTAGTCTACTTTGTTGGGCATTTTCAGTTTAAACATATGTGGTGTCAAATTTACTTGGAGTAGGTTGCGAACTATTGCCATCTTTGATCTTAATCCCAACAAGCAAATACATGAAACAGTCTATGTGCGGATCACCGATTTAACAAATTATAACAGATTCGTAATATAATTAGGTAAAATTATTTTCTCCCAATATTTTGGTTGACAGCTTCTAACGTAAACACAATTACAGTTAATTTTTTATTCTATGCAGGCGGACCCATTTAAATACCATGATACAATGGGCTCTTTCATTCTTGCTGAGAATGTCTATGATGGAAGCTTGTGGTCCACATATGTAGTTGCTTTTAATTATTTATTTTATACTTGTGCTTAAAATAATTTCTAAGTGCATAAACAAGCATTTTTCATCACTTAGATGGCACAACAATTAGTAGTAAAAACGTTTTCTTGAAGGAAAACTTTTGCTTGATGCCAAATCTGAAAGTTCGTCACACTTAAGATGAGCATTAAGATGGTTTTTGTCATCTTAGCGATAAATTCGTAGTATGCAGTGTTGATTGTCAAAAGTCCCACATCGGTGTGGGTGACAATTTGGGGTTGGGAATTTTTCCCTATAAAAGAAGGCTTAATATTTAAGATTTAAATACACCTCTTATTTGTCATCTTATCTTCTTAAGACATTTGTATCTTCTCTCTTTAGTATTATTTCACTTATATTTTTGGAGTGGAATAAAATATTGGTTGTGTCCGAGGAGTAGGAAAAATTAGCCGAACCTCGTAAATTCTGGTGTTCCTTTTATTGTTGCTTTATTGTCTTATTTATTATTTGGTGGCTGTCATAATTTTTGGTATAGTAGTTGTGACTTATTCACACTATATACATTTGGCTTCCTCAACAATTGGTATCAGAGCCAAGGTACTGTCTAAGTATGCTCTGTGGTTGCAGCATAGTCTGATCTTCCACATCAGAAAAGATTTATNAAAATAAATTGTACATGAAGAAGAGACTGTTTCACTTCACCTATGTTCCTGGTACCACGATGAATGAACATATCACCAGTTTCAATAAGTTGGCCACAGATGCAAAATATGGATACAACTTATGATAATGGTGACTTGGCCTTAATGTTGTTGGCATCACTTCCTGATGAGTACGAGCACCTTGAAACTACTCTACTCCATGGAAATGACGAAGTATCTCTCAGAGAAGTTTGTTCGGCTTTGTACAGCTATGAACAAAGAAAGCGAGAAAAACAGAAGGGCGGAGAAGGAGAAGCACTATTTGTGAGGGGTCGTCCTCAAAATCAAACGAGGACAAAGAAGGGAAGATCCAAGTCAAGATCCAGACCCAGCAAAGATGAA